GTTAGTGATCGGAAGTGTTTTGTTCTCTTTATTGTTTCTGCCCTGATGTTTCGTATGTGTTTAGTGAATTTAAGTTTGTGGTCGATTGTGATTCCAAGGTATTTTACGTCGTTTTTTGGTTGTGTCGTTTGGCCGCCTGCTGTTATTGTAGGGGAATCAGCGTTGAGTCTGTGGTTTGTGAGCAGAAGTTGGTTTAATTAAATAACGATTTTATTTATTATAACTTATATTTTCCAATGTGTAATGTATGTAACAAGTGTACAAAATATCAATACATATTTATGCAATTGCTTTGCCAGTGCATTTTTTATCCCATAACCCTAAAAGTCTAAAATAAAATTGAATATGGCGCCAAATTGAAAGCTAGGCGTCTCAGACCGTAAGAGCGCTGCCAGCGGTGCTAAAAGAGTGGGTGGTCTAAATAGTATGTAGCAGAGACAAGAAATAATCTCTTGTCTCTGGTATGTAGTCTGTGGGTGAGATATAGCTGACGTTTCGGTTGGAGCTGCTACTTGAAAAATGGCGGATAGAGTTCGCCACAAGTTTAGTAAGCGAATGAAATCAAATACACAGAACATACATAGGAGTGATATTTTGTGATCAAATAATGGGAACGCACTCATCGATGGTTCCAACATATGATCCTGACACAAGACGCAACTGAAGTGACATGAGTGACAGTTAAATAAGTAAATTTCCTATAAAAATTTTTTTACTCATTATTGAAGTCAATGCGAAAAATCTAAACAGTGTCCAATGATACGTTGAAGAATTGCACAAAGTATGTGGTAAACCTTAAATTGCCATTTGTGCAAATGGGCTTTGCATTTTTAGGATTGATAGAAAAAGTCCTAGTTTGGGACTACAGAAATACTGAGACGGACATTGATGTTTTCATCACCCATCTCGCATTTTCTTAATTATTTTGGTTACCTGCTAAACCAATTCTATGAACCCATCGGATAGCTCTACCACAGGCGAAGCTTCCACGTAATTTATTGAGTTATTTTAAGAATGTCACCATAAATTCGGGGTTATGTTTCCAACGTCAGACTAAAACTTAAACAATAAACTGTTCCAAAACTTTTAGTGATCCAGAGGCCTCGTCTAGTTGTAAAGAGATTGTCAACAGTGAAGACGAAATGAAGAGAGCCGCTGCCAAGAAACTGATAGAAAGGTATTTCTATCAGTTAACGGAAGGATGTGGAAACCCAACTTGCACCAACAAGGACTGTGCATCCAGTGGCGAGGTATTATTAAGCCCATCCAATTCATAAGTATCTAATTGACTGAACTGTTTCGTTGCAGTTTATTGCCATGTCTCCAAATGATGCTGCAGGTCATGCTTTAAAGCTATTTTCTCAAGAAGCTAAGTTATGTGAACGGCATCCCAGTAAAATTGCCAGAATCAATTTATCTAGTAAGAGTGATGGAATGCAACAATGTAATACTGTTCCTTCCAATGATACTGCCGTGTCTCAGTGCAGCAAAGATCCAGGCAAGGTTAATGACCGTTATAACAGTGGTAAGTGCTGAATTATTTACTTTTCTTTATAACACATAATACCGGTAAGTTATCAGTTGTTTCGTTACCGAGATGTTAACACACGATCGAGCTGAATGCATTATTATAGATTAAAACGACCGTTCTAATTTAAAATATGCAATAATAGTTGTTTCTAAGACTGCCTGAACAGTTAAATGGTGTTACGCTTTTTAAAATTGATTTAGAATAATTTGTATAAAATGCGTGTTAGTGATTCCCGTACATATATTATGTAAACGGAATTTTGTTTATTAAACACAAAATAGTCCATATTTAGACATCTAAACCATCCACTCATTTAAAATTTGAAAGATAACTGGCATTCGCCCTCCACAGTCTCATTACGGCGAATTTCAAATTTGGGCACCAATTGGAAAATTTTCTTTTAAGATGTAAATTTCAACGGCGTCATCGGATTAAGGCTAAAACGTAGGTCATTCCTAATTGAATTTATAGAACTGGAATGTTTTTGTAATTTATGTATTTCAGAAGCCATGGCAGTTTCTGAAGCACTTAATTCGGGTTTTTTCTCTCAAAATATACAGCCTGCTTTTGTTGACTTGGTACATGGCACCGCATCAGTGGGGTCTTGGCTGAAACGTAGGCGGATTCTAATTAATATTTATATTATATATATTTCTCGATTTAACGGCATTGATGCTTGTCTTTGCAACAATTTGGTCATATTGTCCGTAAAGAATAAACAGTTTCATTAAAACGTGAGATAATCAGATATATATATAAAGTCAATCTAAACGTTCAATAATATACAGAGTGTCTCATTTATAATATCAAAGTTGTATGTACATTGCGATATAAGCGGCCACCTCGCATTGCTGAAAATATTTTATGCCGGTAGAGCATATTCAATCACTTCGTTGTACAAATTTGCAGACAAATCGTGCATGGCAGTTTCGCTAAACGTCTAATACGCCATCGTCGTATTTTCGTTTTTTGCATTACTTTTTAAATCACCAGTTCTTCAATCACACTGATTTACAGGCATGTAATAAATTTCTTCGGCCACAATCTAATTGTTCTAAATTTGCCTTTTAATTTCAAATTTTTAATCAACCCGCAAAACTATATTTTTGGAAAGTACTTACCGTACTTATCTTAGTAAATGTTTGCGTACAATTTTAATCAAATACGAGAAACAAGTTAAAAGACTGTAAAGAGTATGTTAGAGAATATAGAGTAAAAGTTATGTCTATACTACGATACTATGCGAGGTCCCGGATCTCGGCTTTCTTTTTACTACTCCACTTTATATTTTGGAAAAAATTGTGGAACGGGACAAACAGGTGTTTGAGAAAAATGCATGACAGTCGTTTTGAAAACAATCAGGGAATTATTTATTTTTATTGAATTTGAACATCAAATGCTTCTGATTTTTTAAATGAATTTATAAATTTTTACATCGTCATTGTTATTCCAGATGTACCGTTATCGGTACATTTATTTTTAATAGTGCTTCTCGGTTTGATGTTAATCTTTGTAAAAGAAACCTACTACACTATAACTACACTTAGTACACTTTTCTGCATACCGGACATGCATGTATATTTTTCAACAAGTGGATAGGAATAAATATTTGCAATGACTCCAATGTCTGCAGATCTCAACCCATTAGATTGTGTTGTGTGATATACAGGGTGTCCCGAAAAGGGTAAAGAGCGGCTGTATGTCGGCAAGAGATAAACGAATAATGGCTTAAAGGAAATTAAAATGCTCTTTCAAACTAGGCCAAAAATAGTTTAAATGGTTAAGTGGTTCAAGAGATATTAAAATGGATTAAGAACTGCATTGGCTTCCCGGTTTTTTATTATGAAAGATACAGAAAAATGTCAAAGAGTTAAACGATGCGGTATTACCCAAGCTCTTAAATGACGTTTTTAAAGTTATAGCTCATGTCTTTAACCATATCTGAACACCCTGTATGTACTAAAACCGGCAATATGAAAGATTTAAAAAGCGAAATAACTGTAAATCTTAATTAGTTTTTTATCAATAAAATATAAGCATCATCCGGCAATAATTTATCAAGCGCTTTTAATGTACTGTTAGGCATAACAAGAGCTTAGGTTCAACCTTTATCTTAACAGCATAAATTTCCTATCGTTAACATTGGTATGGTATGGTATGTGTTTAACAAAATAATAAATTAGCAAATAAGTGCTTTAAATTTTCAAAAATAAACAGCATATAAAATATATAA